TATCAACGGCACCCATAAGTGCTGGCGTGACTTTTCACGCCTCGCCACGTCTGCCACGATGGCAGCAAGTACTCTTCCCCTGGCGAACGAGCAAAGCGTTCAAGAAATTGGCACGCGCGATCGACCAATGATTGCGATGATGAATCGCAACGATGCGCATATTCACACGGAAACTCACTCGCAACGCGCATTCTGATACTCGGGATTTCACTTTGGCACCGTCAGCGCGGAGTCGCGAGGCCAAGACAGGAAAACACGCCCGACCACAGCACGAACGAGCGCAAGTGCTGATGACCGCCTCACCGATCGGATCGAAAGGCATGCAGGACGGAACCGCAGCACGATCTCGCCATGGATTTTGCTTGTTCTGTATTGTTCAATTTGCTTGGAACTTAGCTGCCCCGATACGCAACACGCAACACGTACCGTATCGATACGGACCTCAACACGTAGGTTGAAAACGTAGGTCCGACGCGATACATTCGCCAAAACGTGGCCCGATACGTGGAGCCAACACGCAACGTATTGACACGGACGTCTTGGACACGGGACGTCTTGCGTTTCAAAACGCGCGTATCGAGGTAACCAAGGCTTGGAAACGTGACGTGCCAGAAACTGCGCTCACATGCTCCGCAGACAGGGGGTCCCAAGCAACGCGTGGACCCCCCTCCGAAAGGTCTGGGCCCCGCGGAGTCCAGACCTTGCATCTTCGGCTCAGATATCTTGCAGCGCGGAGAGCGCTTAGCACCGAGGCCACATCCCATCATAGCAGAGTGGTGGGCCGCGCATAACAGCAAAAATCGTCCACGTCTTGAGACAAGGGTCCCAAGCAACGCGTGACCCCCCCCCGAAAGGTCTGGGCCCCGCCCCCCCGCGGGGCCGCCGCTTCGTCGCGAATCTGTGCCGCTCCGGGCGCCCCCGGGGGAGCCCCGGACGACGGCCGGAGGCTCCGAAGCAGCCTGCCGTGCTGCTTTCCGTCCACGCGCTGGGCGCCTGGGGTTGGGTCGGGCAGGTCCTCCTACAGGCGGATGTTGGAGGAAATGATAAGACATACTCCAAACATATCCCAAACATAACCAACAATTATCCCGGCAAAGCAACCTAACAGCGATGTGTAGAAGCATATCTGGAAGCATTCCCCTTAAGATTTAGGTGAGAATCCACTTGTAGAATTCTGCTGTTCTCGCAGTCGCAGCCTCAGCCTGCCTCGGCTTGCCTCGGCCTCAGCCTCAGCCTGCCTCGGCCTCAGCCTCAGCCTCAGCCTGCCTCAGCCTCAGCCTCAGCCTGCCTCAGCCTAAGCCTGCATCAGCCTCAGCCTCAGCCTGCCTCAGCCGCAGGCTTGCCTCAGCCTCAGCCTCAGCCTCAGCCTCAGCCTGCCTCAGCTTCAGCCTCAGCCTCAGCCTGCCTCGGCTTGCCTCGGCCTCAGCCTCAGCCTGCCTCGGCCCCGCAAGGAAGCCTCAGCCTCAGCCTAGCCTCAGCGCAGCCCAGCCTGCCTTCACTCCTTGCCTCAGCCTCAGCCTGCATCAGCCCAGCCTCAGCCTCAACGCCAGCCTCCCACTCAGCCACAGCCTCAGCCTCAGCCTCAGCCTGCCTTAGCTTCAGCCTCAGCCTCAGCCTGCCTCGGCTTGCCTCAGCCTCAGCCTCAGCGTGCCTCGGCCTCAGCCTCAGCCTCAGCCTCAGCCTCAGCCTCAGCCTCAGCCTCAGCCTCAGCCTCAGCGTCAGCCTCTCAGCCTCAGCCTGCATCAGCCTCAGCCTCAGCCTCAGCCTGCCTCAGGCTCAGTCTCAGCCTGCCTCAGCCTCAGCCTGCCTCAGCCTCAGCCTCACAGTTGGCTCCGGGCCATCAAAATGTAGCCTGGGAATGGTGTTCTGGGAACACGAAGAACACGAAGTGGCCTACAGTTGGCTCCGGGCATTCAAAATGTGGCCCGGGAATGGAGTTCTGGGAACACGAAGAACACGAAGTGGCCTACAATTGGCTCCGGGCATTCAAAACATGGCCCGGGAATGGAGTTCTGGGAAGTCCAAGAGCACGAAATGGCCTACTGTTGGCTCCGGGCATCCAAAATGTGGCCCGGGAATGGTGTTCTGGGAAGTCGAAGAGCACGAAGTGGCCTATAGTTGGCCCCGGGCATCCAAAATGTGGCCCGGGAATGGAATTCTGGGAAGTCGAAGAGCACGAAGTGGCCTACAGTTGGCTCCAGGCATTGAAAATGTGGCCCGGGAACGGAGTTCTGGGAGGTCGAAGAGCACGAAGTGTGTGACTGTTTGCTTAAAACGAGCCCGGCCCTGAGCCCGGCCCTCGCTGTCCGGATGCCGCCCAAACCTCCCTTCTGAGTCATCAGATGCTCTCTTTTGACACCACTAGAAACCTATCAGTCTTCGCTGTTAGGTAATAGTCAAAAATAATGAAAAATCGTCCCCATACTATTTTTTGTATATTTCTGAATCTTCCTCCTGTAGAGGGACGTGCCCGACTTAAGCCTGGGGTTCCCCGACCCCCTCGAGCATAATCTACGATGCGATTTGGTGCAGTCTTGCTCTAGTGAAACGCCCGCAGTCCCTTTCCCGCCGCCAACGGCAAACGGGCTGCCCCCTGTCTCTTAAGGACCGAAACGTAATTCATCAAATCACGCGCGGTGGTGGCGTATAACATTTTGGTTACCAAGAGGAGCGATTTTTATACACCGCCACCCAGAAGTGCTTTTTCTGCTCCAGGAACTCCCCATGCCACGGCGCCTGCGAGCTGCGCCGCGCTCTTTTTCGCGGTGGCGTCGCAGCGTTGTCTGGCATGACCCTGCCCCTAACCCTTTTTGCGGTAAATTACTGTTGCGGGCGGTGGTGGTGTAAAATAATTGGCCACGCATATCACCACGACGGGAGGTGTTTCACAAGTTTCGGCCTCTCTGGGTGCCCTTATACCGGGCCTCGGGACCGTCAAAACACGGCTCAGGAGGAAGAGCAGGTTCCGGGGAACATGGCAAGGCTGGACCTAAACACCGAAACGTTGCTTTTCGTTTTGTTATCGTTTTGCTCGACCTGTGTTCCTGTAACTTCCTGCCAAGACGAGAAAAAAAACAGCCGAAGCTCAGCAGAACAGCGTTTGGGTCCAGCCCTGGAACATGGGTCGAGACCTCGGGGGGGTGACGCCATGAACAAAAATCATGGCGTCGGGGGTCCGGGTTTTTTCTTAAGCCCCCCACCCGCGACGAGCCGCCCCGCCGGGGGGGGGGGGGGGGGCCGGGGCGGGGACTCCTGACGGGGTGCGGGGGGGGGAGGGGCGGAGAGACCAGTGGTAGGCCTGCGTTCCACCACCACCACCACAAGTAGGAGGGGGAAAGGGTCCTCCTCCTCCCGGTGGAGACTCGGCGGGTGGAGGACCAGGGATGACCGTCTCCTCAGCGCGCCTCTGCAGCTCAAGCCCCCAAGGTTAGGTCGGGCATGTCCCCCCGCCTACAGGGGGAGTTTGGACGAAAACAATCTTCAAACCATGCCCCCAAATAGTCCAAAAATCATAAAATAGTTCCCAGACGATTTTGAAACTATTTTTGAATATTCCTCCTGTAGAGGGACAGGCTCGACTTACAACTCAAGGGCCGAGAAGCTGGGGCTTGGCTGCGGGGCAGAAGCGCGTCGGCCCAGCTGGGGCCGTCTTCGGGGGGCGGCAGGCCTCTCCTGGGAAGACGGAGGAGGTACCATGCACGGAGTAGGCAGAAGAGGTGGAAGGCACCAAGGAAAGTGCAATGAGGGGGACGAAGTTCGGAAGGAGCGAAGGCAAATGGAAAGACGGACGAGGAGAGGGAGGGCGAGGAGAAGGCGGAGGACGGAAAACACTCCTGCTCAAGAGTTAGGACAGCTGCGCGCCAGCACCACTCGAAGCGTGGTCTGAGACACCAGATCCAGGTCCAGACACAGGGAAGCTCTACGACGAGAAGGGAGCTCCAACAAAACGCCCAGGGTCTAGCCCGCATTCTTCTCTTACGCGAAATCTGGAGTCCATGAAACATGCGGCAGTTTTCTCCAAATTTCGGATTGTCTGGTCAAGAATAATACTTGATTTAAAAGAAGACTTGGTTAAGAAGAAGAAGAAGAAACAACGGCACAAACATAAACTTTTGGCGCTCCGCGCGGATTTCTTGGATCCGCGCTGGGCCCCACCTCCCTGGCGCGCGGAACGCGCCAGGGGCGGCGCCGGAGGCGCCGCCAAGGGGGGGTCAGCGCGGATCCAAGAAATCCGCACGGAGCGCCAAACATTGATGTTTATGTGTTTGGTTTATTCTTCTAATTCTTCTCAGCCAAGTGAGACCCCCTTAGACAACCCTAGATTCGGAGACGAAACCAAGCGCACCTTTCATGGACTCCAGAGTTCGCGTAAGTTTGCGCTTATGCAGTTTTTCTTCCTCGAAGAAAACGGTTGCTCGGGACCCACCCTCTTGTCCGTTCCCCGGACCTTCCTCGGCTTTTCCCCGCCCTCGGTGCCTCGAGTGGTGATACTTTGTTGCCCGTGCCTCTCGGAGGATCCTCGGAGGCCCCTCGGGCCGAGCAGTGCCAAGCATTGCCAAGCAATGCCAAGCATTGCCAAGCAATGCCAAGCAATGCCAAGGAATGCCAAGGAATGCCAGCAATGCCACGCAATGCCAAGCAATGCCAAGCAATGCCAACCCATGCCAAATGATGCGCCCATTCAATAGGCTTCCCCCCAATTGGGGTCGCGCTGGGTTCATTCTAAAGATGTCTGATGGGTGCGGGGAGAAGGAGGAAGAGGATCAGGAGGAAGAGAAGGAGGAGGAGGAGGAAGAGGAAGAGGAGGAGGAGGAGGAGAAGAAGAAGGGCGGAGGAGGAGGGAACATGAGGAGGAGGAGGAGGAGAAGGAGGAGGAGGAGAAGGAGGAGGAAGGGAGCAGGAGGACAAGGAGGATGAGGAACAGGAGGGGAGGCCAAGGAGGAAGGAGGGAGCCGGCAGGAAGGAGCCCGAGGAGGTGGAGAAGTCTGAGAGCACCCCGCCTCGCCACATCGCCCTCGCCCGCCAGCAGCCAGCCCGCAAGCCGCCGCCACGTCGGCCCGAGGCCCCCTGCTGCGCCTCCAGCGCCGGCGGCGCCGGGGACGCCTCCGCCCGCCACCTCTCCGCGGGCCGCCGACGACCCTTCGAGGGGGAGCGCCAGGGGACGACCAGCTCAAGGGGGGAGGCATCGGCACAAGAGCGCGAAGGCCAACGTTCGGGGGAGGGGGGGGGGCTGAGGAATATTTGAGCTTCGAGGCGTGAGGTCTTCCGGCGCCTTCATATGTTCCCGGCGGGATTCCAGTCTCGAGGTGCCTTCCAGCGGCTGCGCCTCGCCGAGAGGCTCCTGGGGGTGCTCGGCTCGTCCCAAACGGCCGCCCGAGGCCCGAGTTATGACCCGCAAACCACTCCAGGATTAGCCCCGGGGAGGCACATCGACCTAGAATCAGCGATGCCGGTACATCGCCGATGCAGGATAGATCGGCGATAAAACCTCGATAGCGAAGCCACACGTGCCTGGGCGAGGGTGGGCTTCCAGGCCCCTGCTTCGGCGGCGAGCGAAGGGGGGGAAGCGAGAAGGAGAGGGCCTTCTCAGAAGGCTCGGAAGTCCCCCAGCCTTCTGAGAAGTTTTCTGAGCCTTCCCCGAAGACAAACAACAACTCCTCAGAAGGCGCGAGGGCTTGTGAGAAGCCCCGCCGCCTTCTGAGAAGGCCTCCTCCTAATCAGTTCCCCCCCGCGCTCGCCGCGGACTGCTAGCATCGGCGATGAGTGATGCGCCCCCACCCCCTTGCCTGGGCCTACGCGCCCCCCAACGTAACGTTGCCCCTGAGACGTTCGAGGATCGAGGTTTCCCCAGACCTCCTCGTGTCGTGGAGGGAACACGTCGGGGGCAAGATTTAAGCGACGATCGCCAACGGGTCTCACGCGAGAGGACGCAGCGGCCATACGCGGTGGCTCACGCGGGCCGCCAGCGCGGTACGCTGCTTGTGAGACGAGGGCGCTTAACGCGCGACCCTATGCGGGCAGCTTGCGCGCCAATGTCGGCGAAGACGACCCCGTGTTTTTTTGGCGTCGCTCATCCGTTGTTCAGCACACACACAGGTTTGGGAGAAAAACGGGTTGCTCGAGGGCGGGGACGATCGGGCAATGCCAAGATTACACGTCGTTCATTTCTAATCGTGCTCATTTCTAACTGTGCTCGCTTCTAATTGTTCCTGGCCCCCTAGTGGCCAAGAAGAGGCCCAGGATAGAACAATTAGAAATGAAAGGATCTTGCCCCCCCCCCCAAAAAAAACAAAGAACTTTCGAACACTTAGAAACGAACAATATATACTGTTGGGCATACCAACACGGCGGTACTAATGTCTATTCGTGGTCCAGGTGGCAAGCTGGCCAGGAGAACAATCTGGCACGAACACGGTGGCACACTGCGCGGAATGTCTGCTCTGTGGATGGGTGACGGCGACAGTGGTGCAGAATTGCCTACGCATCGGGTCAGCCATTGATGGTAGCTGTGCGACGATGCCAGAAATCAGACATGGTGCTACGATCACGACCGACACACTACGCGTAGTGCGCACGCGTGTGTTCGCACCCCCTTGCACTGCCTGATGCAACGTGCACGGTGTTTGCAGGCAGTTTGATGATGCCAGGAAGGCTCCACAATGCAGGCGCGTAACCATGTCTCACGGTTGGCGAGTCCCGCCAAGTCGAGGCTGAGGTCGTGAAGGTGTATAGAGCAGCGCCAAGGTCAGGTTCACGGACTCTGAATTAAGATGTGTGTCGCACGCACAGGTCTTAGCGCGCCTCCAGAGACCACTCCCGAAGGCCTCGCTACGAGCAGCACGCTTGCGACTGCTAGGATCCTTGATACAAACAGGCCCAAGGGTGGCGTTTGCTTTGCTTCGAGACGAGTGGCGCGCACGAAGAGCGAGCGAGCCGACATCGCCTGGCGTAGTAACAGCAGACTGCATGTCGTTACGTACGACTGTGCCGAGATGCAAAGAATTGCCACCACCGCTGGACGACTTTGCACTATGGGAATAGAGGATACGAAATCATCAAGGTGCATAGAAACGGATAACTGGACAAACCCTACACGGAACGGCACAGGCGCACATGCGCAGCACAATGGCCAACAGTGTGGGGCAAGCCTGCTCGGAAGCTGTCCGACCATGTGGCGTGCCTGAACGCGTGTACACGGATGAGTGCGGCATGCTGTCTGACGCTCCTGCCCAGGCAATAATGCTAATACGCACGTGTCCATTGTGTGGTGTGCAGTATCAGAACAGAGCGGCACTCAGAACACACATCGCTAGCAAACGAAGGCAACAGGCGGTACAGGTCAAGGCATGGGCGGGGCCCGGCGGGCAGTGTCATGTATGCTTGACTACGCTTCACAACAGGCAGCGCTCAGTGGATCATATTGCACATGATTCCCCCGATGCCTGTACAGTTTGCTCAGTGGTCCAGCTATGTACTCTTCGGTGCCGACAACGATGCCAAGTGCTTGCCTGGCCGACCGATCCGAATTCTACCATTACGCAGGGTAGGAGGGCCCATGCGGTGGCTCGTGGCAGACGCCAGGTAGTGGGGCCGACCATTCGAGCGGAGGGCCTCCTCAGAGAGCATGCTACGGACGTGTCGCGATCGATGCCGCAGGCGGATGCTCAGCACGAGCGCAGGCCCAGCGCTACCGACGTCCTCGATCGCTATACTACTGCCTGCACACCAAGATGCCGTTCATGACCCACTACCCAGGATCAAACACTCTACCAGGAGGTCCCCTGCTCGGCTTTTCGTGCCCGAACGATTGCCAGGTGTCGCTAGCCAAGCGGCGCCGCGGGGAATTCGCAGAGCTTGGAACGCTCATTCGGGGCGACGAAGGGCTGGGGACGTACAAGCGCAGGTGGAATGGGCTCAGTATGTACCTGCCGTCAGTCTCGGTGACCATACGATCCATTGATACTGGGAAGCACGAGAAACTTGGAGATATGATGAACCGGCACGCCTTGGACACTTGGACAAAAACACAGCGAGTTGTCGTGTCATGGGGCGGCCGGGGACAGGCGAGTCGTAGTTTCAGGGGGCGGCCCCTCCCCGCGAGACACGGTCGGCCCTCAGGTGGGCCGAAGCATCGGGACCCCCGTACTTACGCACACATGGTGAGTTCAGGGGCAAGGCAGCGGTCACACCACGGCAGATGGAACGGCTAAGAGCAGGTATCGCACTAACGTGTGCCATGGTATTTCTGTTGAACAGATGCTGGTTGGCACGTCAAGCTGAATGGACCACCCACAGCCACGCGGATGAAGGCCCGAAGCAGTCACTTCCTTCACGTGGCACCCGTTGCGAGCCGTCATGTCGCCTTCTGCTGCCACGTGCACAGGCTTCGATTCATGCGGGCATGGGCAGACGTCCAGGGCACCCGCACATATCCTTCCCTTACGAGGAGGAGGAGGAGGAGGAAGAGGAGGAGGAGGAGGAGGAGGAGGAGGAGGAAGGGGAGGGGGAGGAGGAGGGGCAGGAGGAGGAGGAGGAGGAGGCTATGTCATTGTGCGCAAGGCCTCGTTGCCACACCTGGCAGCAGGCGCTGCTCGCACGGCATGGAAGCGGCACACCAAAAAACCAGCTGTCGACGATGCTTCCGGCCAGGAGGGGAGGACGGCCAAGAAGAGAACCTACCCACCACAGTTGTGTACAGTAGGGGCTCGACCGCAGGAAACCTTCCACAAAGAAACCCAACCCTGAGACCACAGGACGTCCGCTGATTTTTGGTGTGGGGACGTCACGCTTTCCATGGTAGACCCGTCGAGACCCGAGAAGCCCAGGGCACCCTGGAGGCAAGCAGGGTGCTTCTTGGCATGGGCCTCCACAGCACGTGCTCGGCGGACCCTGCGGCGACAGCAGCGCAACAAATGTTGAGCCGACCGGACATGAAGGCCGTCCCCGAAGGCATGGCTGAATCCGAGGACCTCCATGCCGCGCTGCTGCGTGTTTGTGTTTCCTGGGATCCCTACCGAGGCGTTGACGAAAAGTGGGCTACAGTTTGTTTCGATGTCCCACGACACGCGCCGGACGGAACCAGAACTCGAACGTTTCAAGCCCCCGACGATAGTCGAGGACACTCCGACCACGCAAGGCCCGGTGGCTGATCTCACGGCTACCCCATGACCCAGCGGGCCCCCAGAGGCCAACGAAGAGCAGGAACATCTAGAGGCCCTTGACTTCCTAGAACTTTCGCACCGCTCTGAGTTGGTGCCGACGGGTCGCAGACGCACTGTTGGCGTTCCCTCAGCTCCTCCTCACCCCTTTCCTGTTCCCCTAACAGATGCGATCAACGAGCGTAAAGCGAATGCATAGCGCACAATCGTCAGGTAGACTGGGAGCGCAGAGCCACATGTGCCGCAGTGGATAGGCAGAGACGCTTGACAGAGGTCTGGAACGCAGACACAGAATTTGGTGCAGGTATCTTTGACAGAGTGATCGAGTAGACGTGTAATAAACTTTCGCGTGGCGTGCTCTGGGCCAAGCCAAGATTTGTAGAGGGATGGCTCCCGTCTGGCAATGCTGCTGTTGCCGCCGCGGCTGCTCTCTCCTCCCCTGGCCAGGTGAACGCTTCTCCGCCCGTCTGGTCCACTGCACCTGCCAGTCAGACGCATGCCTGTCTATTGCTTTCTTGCCAGGGGCCCACGTGAGCCCAGCCAGGGATAATAATACACCCGACAGCGCACAAGACGTCCGAGGACCCCCCTCCGGTGCTCTACCGAGCCACCCCCCCCGCCAAATTCAGCTACTCCTCCGCAGCCGCCATCCTGCCGCATGCCTCGCTATTGCTCTCCTTCCAGGGGCCCACGTGTGCCCAGGCTGGGGCTAATGGTGTACCCGAAAGCGCACCATACGAGCGAGGCCCCCTTTGTGCTATCCAATGAATTCCCCCCCCCTCCCGGCCAGGCTCAGAACGTACCCCCTCCCGTACGCCGGCGGCTGCCAATATGATAGACACACGGCTATGGGTGGCGCCATTTTGACCAGAGTGCGCTTAGCTGTGCAGGTGCAGAGCATCGCTCGCACGGTGTAGCGCATACGATAGACCGCGCCTTTGGGCCGTTCTGCCGCTTGCTTCCCGCTGAGCTTCGTGACGTCAGGGGCTCAAATATTGCAGCTCCCCTCAAGCAGGTATCGCTCAGTCGCGGGATTGTGTCTGTGTTTGTTTTGTGGCAAGGACGCGGCGCGCAAGGACCGCGGTCGCCTCTTTGCTCGTCTTATCTCTCACAGTGTTTCACACAGGTGATCGTGGGCTGGCGGCCTCAGGGTGAGCCATGCCCCTCCCCGCCCACTTGTCTTACCCTGGCCTGGTGGCAGCAGGCGCCTCCCAGCATGCAGTGCCCTGCAGAGACAGCCTGGCGGTATCCATTGGGCGCCCGAGTTATCCGGGGTAACTCGGGTCCCGGGTAACTCGGGTTTGGATTCCCGAAAAAGGAACCCGAGTTAGCCCTGACCCGAGTTACCCCTAATGATTCGGGGCTCTGGACGCCCGAGTTATCCGGGGTAACTCGGGTCCGGGGTAACTCGGGTTTGGATTCCCGAAAAACGAACCCGAGTTATCCCTGACCCGAGTTACCCCTGATGATTCGGGGCTCTGATATCCATGGTCTGGCGGGTCTGGCAGCGGGACTGGCAGCGCTCTGGGGCCTCTGGCCTGGGGCAGCGCGGGAACGGCTGTGGAGACAGTCTGGCGGCGCCCGTGGTCGGGTGGCTCTGCTCGGTGGCCTCGCGGCTGGCCTCGCCCCCGCCCCGGCCTCCTGCCCTGCCGCGGCCACGACCGGAGCAGGCGTCCGCCCGCCCGGCGCGGCAGTCCAACCAGACGGGTGCCGGAGGAGGAGGAGGAGGAGGAGGAGGAGGAGGAGGAGGAGGAAGAGGAGGAGGAGGAGGAGGAGGGGGAGGAGGAGGGAGGAGGAGGAGGAGGAGGAGGGAGGAGGAGAGGAGGAGGAGGAGAGAAGGAGGAGGAGGAGAGGAGTAGGAGGAGGAGGGAGGAGGAGGAGGAGGAGGAGGAGGAGGGCGGAGGAGGAGGAGGAGGATGAGGAGGAGGAGGAGGAGAGGAGGATGGAGGAGGAGGACAGGAGAGGAGGAGGAGGAGGGCGAGGGAGGGTAAGGAGGAGGGAGCGGAGGAGGAGGAGGAGGAGGAGGAGGCGAGTCCTTCCTACCGCCCCCCTCCGCGTCCAGGCAGCCGCCTTTGGTCCGCCCGCCGCCTCGCCTTTTGCCGTGGCAAGGCTGCAGACAGCTTGCCCGCTCGGGCACCCAGCGAACAGCCGCAGAAGGATGTCGGTCTATACGCAGTGCTGTATGCTGGCTGGTTCGTCGTCCCTCGTACGGTTTGCTGCTGCTGGTCCGTGTGGGCTAGCGCCCGAGAGCCGCGGTGATAGATTCCTGCACTCTCCCCCAGCGCATCGATAGCCGATGTGTTTCCGCCGTCGTCTCGCTTCGTGCCGCGCTTAGACGAAGATAGCTCCCACCTCAAGTGCAACGAACGACTGCAGAAAACTCTGTTTCACACGGCAGCTCGTTAGACTGCCGGACCGGTATTGTGCCCCCTACTTACTGCTGTACTGTACTGTCAACTCTGGTGCCCCGACAAATCTTGTTCGCCTCACGACAGTTCTGAAAAATGTGCCGGCCTCTGGCTGACAGGCTTCCAGCTTAATAAGCATCGCAATCCCGCCCGAACAAAAACCATACTTCCACACCCAATAGAGGCACTGAACAATACCGACGCCGCTGCTCCTTGGACCTTTCCCAGGGCACGGTTTGACCAAAATTCCGAGGAGGACCCAGCTGTAGTGACGAGGGCACTCCAGGACGAACAGCGGAATCGGAACCATTTCCTCCCTGCACGGTTTTCCCCTGGGCCGTAGGCGACCCGAGGAGGAGGAGGAGGAGGAGGAGAAGGAGGAAGAAGAGGAGGTGGAGGAGGGGGAGGGGGAGGACATGGAGGAGGAGGAGGAGGAGGAGGAGGAGGAGGAGGAGGAGGAGGAGGAGGAGGAGGCGTCTGAGGCGTCTGATGATACGGCCTGTGTCTCCAGGCCCTGCCGCCAATGGCCTCGCCGCGGACCTACGCCACGACGCAGGGAGGGCCGATGCCCAGAAAACGAGGGGAAACCGGCACGCCGACGAGGAAGCCAGAAACCCAGGGAAACCAAAACAAAGCGAGCGAGCGCCCAGCCCCGGCGACGAGGAAACCAACGCGGCGGGCCAAGCGGCGGCGACGAGGGATGGGCCCCACAGCCCGCAAGGGCGCCGCGACGCGCGGCCGCCAGGCTGTTCAGGGGCTGCGCCGCCGCTTCTCGCTGTCGATCCTGGCCTGGACTAGGGCCCTCCAGTCAGGCCCGAGCCTGGAGGAGACGTACTCGTCGAGCTGAGCCTCCGAGAGGCCGTCCAGTCATTCCTCCTCCTGCTGGAGCTTGTCCTTCGGCTTGAGCTTGCCCTTGCCCTTATTCTTATCCTTGCACTTGTCCTTGCCCTTGCCAGAGACATCAGGCCAGGGGTCCAGCACCCCTGGGGCCGTCAGGCACGAGCTCAAACGCAACGCTTGGGGACCGGCGCCTATGCCCTTGCCAATGAGGTTAAAGTCCGAGTCCTTAGCTGAATCAGGATTTGCCCCTATGGGCTGAGAGACGTCAGGCTCGGAAGAATCAGAACTTGCCCCAATGGGCTTGCTGATGAGAGAAGCGCCGATGCGCAGAGATGCGCGACAACCCGCTGCTTGAGAGTCAAGACCATCACAGCTGACGACGTCCTCGTTGTACATGTCCTCGTGGAAGTCCTCGAAGCTCTTCAGCTGGTTCTCCAGGTACTTCATCTCGGCGATCGCGTCCTGGTGATCAAGCTCGCTCTGGAACACCCCTGGCTCTATGCCTGCATCTCGCCCGTCATCCTCCTGATGTTCTGAAGCTCGTTCTGGCACCGCAGCAACGCCTTGAACAGCAGAGACCTCGCCGCCAACCTGCTCGAGCTGGTCGCCAGTCTCTTCAGGAGCCATCCCCGACACTGCCACGGCCGGTGCCTGAATCTTGAGCCCATCTGGTAGGTCGAGCTCTTTGCCGTAGAAGTCAAAGAGCGCCCTGACCTCCTGCCCATCGCGAGCTCCTATGAAGCACTGCACTCCATCCTGCTGACAATCAGTGTCGTACCACTGGTGCAGGCCGTCCTTGTTTAGTAGCATGTGGCTGTCCTCCCCGAGCGCGTAGGGGAAGAACTCCACCGCATTGACACGCAGCGCGCTGTCCCTGGTGCTGTCGATCAGCTTCGGGTGCTTCGCGACAGTGCCGATCAAGCCGACCTCCTGGTCCAGCGATTCTTGCGCGCTGCCTGCTTCCACGGCGGTGGGGCAGGCGCGCTCTCCTCGTTGAAGTTCTCCAGCTCCTCCCGGGGGTCCTCTTCCGTGTCCTCCGTGAACTGGTGAAGGTGCGACAACTCCTCCAGCTGCCTCCTGTGCAGGTACTGCGTCTCCACAGGCGCGTCGGCCTGACACATGTTGCAGGTCCTCCTGAAAGCGTACTGGCACTCCTCGCACTTCCAGATCGCCACCCGTGTAGTGAACCGCCGGTGCATCTCCTGCGTTGGCCTCCACGGCCTGCGCTTCTTCAATGCGGTCTCCTCCTCGGGCTGCGGCAGCTTGGGGAGCGGCCTTTTCCTCGGCAGCTCCTTCTGCGCAGCCTCCATCTGGTGCTTTTCGATGTCCTCGCGGTTGTTCATCTCCTTCTTGAATGCGGTCTTCTCCGCGGGCTGCGGCAGCTTGGGGAGCGGCCTCTTCCTCGGCAGCTCCTTCTGCACAGCCTCCGTCACCGGGTGCTTCGAGATGTCCTCGTTGATGCTCAGCTGCAGCATCGGGTGGGTGACCTCCGATAGTCCAGCCTTCCGTAGCGCCTCGCCCAGGCCTGGCCAGTCGTCGATCACCACCTCCTCCTTCTGAGCGGACGCCATGACCTTCCCCTGACGACTCATGCTGTCCTCCCAGTTGAGGTCCGAGGCCATGGGCAAGCTCTTGTTCTTGACCCGCACCTCGAACGCCCTCCTGTTGGCCTCGATGGCCTTCCTCGAAGCCGCACGGGTGGCCGCTGAACTCCACGATGAGCTCTGTGGGGCCAACCTTGCGGGCGAGGGCTGCGATCTGGTCCTGGAGCTCTCCATTGATGCTGTCTCCCGGAATGCGCAGCGTGAGGATCATCTTCACGGCACCGGAGCCATCGCGGCCCCGCGCGGCTGCGCCCCCGCGACGAGCGCCGCGCGAAGGGGTCCCTCCTTGAGACCCCCGCAGGGGCTAGGAGGAGGAGGAGGAGGAGGAGGAGGAGGAGGAGGAGGAGGAGGAGGAGGAGGAGGAGAGAGGAGGAGGGAGGAGGAGGAGGAGGAGGAGGAGGAGGAGGAGGAGGAGGAGGAGGAGGAGGAGGAGAAGGAGGAGGAGGAGGAGGAGGAGGAGGAGGAGGAGGAGGACTCGGTACCATTTCCTCCCCTGACAAAACAGGCCGCCCCTCCCACGTTGCCCCTTGTGGTTCTCGGGATTTCACTCGGGCCTCCAGAGGCGCTTCGGGACGACGTGGGCACACCCAGAACGCCCTCGGCGAAGCGCAGCTGCTGGGACGCACCCCGAGGCTGGAAGGCCGACGAGAACCATCGAACACGGCCGAAGACGACGAAGCCCGGAGCCCATGCCATTTGATGTTTTTGTTGTCGATTCGTGACGGGTGTACCCTCTGCCCCCCTACGCGCCCGCGCCGCCGATCGGGCGCAGAGGGCCCCCCCCGCGCCGCCGCGCCGCCTTCTCCCACAGCGCCGCCCGCGCGGCAGGCTCCCACCGCAGCAGCTGCAGCAGCCCCCCGCGCCGCCGCTGCCGCCCGCCGCCGGCGGCCGAGCGCAGGCTGGCAGGGCGCGCGCGCCCGCGGAGGACCCCTCAGGCCAGAGTGGTGCAAGGTCAGGAGGGGAGGAGGAGGAGGAGGAGGAGGAGGAGGAGGAGGAGGAGGAGGAGGAGGAGGAGGAGGAGAGGAGGAGGAGAGGAGGAGGAGGAGGAGGAGGAGGAGGAGGAGGAGGAGGAGGAGGAGGAGGAGGCCGTGTTGTGCAAGCACCGTGTGGCGCAGGCCTTCGGTGGCAACCCATGGGAGCCGCCAGTGCCATCGTGTCGGCCCTCGCGAGTCGGCACTCGTCGACGCTAAGTCGACGCTAAATCTACGCTAATCGGCGCTAAATCGGCGCCATCACATCGACCCTCAGACGCTAATCGACGCCAGTCGACGCTATAAAAACAGAACGAAGAGGGTCTACCAGGCTTCCGAAATGTGCTACCGAACAGGCCTATCTGGCGCAGGCTATGGTGTGAGCTCTGCGGCACAGGCTGTGCGGGACGACCTTCAAAACTTCCCTGGGGGAGGTCGGCCACGCGCAGAGGACGACGACGAGGACGGCGACGACGGCCTCGACGACGCCGACGACAGCGTGGCTCGGGCCCCACTGGCCGCCCAACCTCCTTGGACGGAGAGGTCGGCGGAGCCCATCGGGCTCGGGGCCAGCGACGTGCTGCCAGCGCTGCGCGGTGCAATGCCCCGAGGTGCCAGCCGCGCGGTTGCGCACGCCGGGTGCAACGGCACGAGCGCCGCCCGGAGCCCCCCACGGCCGCACGCCGGACGCAGCCTCGACACCCCCCCCCCCGCCAGCGCATACTGCAGTAGCGCCCTCGAGGCGCCCGCGTGGCCACCCCCAGCGGGGGGCGAAGCCTCGAGGCGGCGGCTCCCAGCGTGCGCACCGCTGGCGGCAGCGTCCCCTGGCCCCCTCCCCTTCAGAACCAGGACGCCCCCCCCCCCCCCCAGAATCCATCCCCCTCCGCTCCAGAGCAGGCCCCGCCCCCCCTCCTGCACGGCGCGAATCGCCCCCCCCCCCCCCGCCCCCCAGGGCGCCCATCCCCGTCCCGAAGGCCGGAAGGGTCGTTCGATACTCCCCCAGCTCTCTTCGCTGGCGTACCACGTTGACAACGTCGACGACGACTTCGCATCTGCAGTCGCCGCCGTCATCGCCGGCGTCGCCGTCGCAGATTCGGTCGGTCTATCCGGCCGGACACATCGTCCTCACTCGCAACCGCCATCGCAGAAGCCGTCGTCTTGGGCGAGTCGGTCGGTCGGTTGGGTGGCACACATCGTCGTCGTCGTCCTCGCTGTCGTCGTCGTCGAGTCGTGTCGGACAGGCGGGCGAGCGGGACACGTCGCCATCGTGGTCCTGGCCGTCGTCGTCGTCGTCAGCGGCGAGTCGAGTCGGGCGGGTGGGCGGGACACGTCGTCGTCGTCGCCGTCGTCGTGGTCGTCGCCGCCGCCGCCGCCGCCATCGTCGTCGTCGTCGTCGTTTGCCGACGCCAGGCCAGGAGGGCGGGACACGTCGTCGTCGTCGCGGTCCTCGTTGTCGTCGTCGCTTGTGGGCTGGCGCGTTTGGAGGGCTGGAACCCCCTTTCCCGCTCAACTCTTCTTTTCGAGGAAGGGGGGAGGGGGGGGTGGGCACCCGCCCCTGACTCCCCCCCTGAGTATCGTTGAACCGATCCCCATCCCCAGCGGCGTGGCCTGGGCCCCACTGGCCGATTTACACGCAAAATTTATGCTAAGAAATCTTCCAGTAAGACATTGAGACCCAGCTTCGCTGAATTTCTTAGCCCGCTTGCAAGAGCCAGCTTTGAAGCGTGCAATTTCTTAGCGCAGCGCGACGCCAGTGTGGGTGGTTCCGATGAAGATTGTGCCGGTGATTGTGCCGATTGCGGCGCCGGGGGCTCTGCAGCAAACAACATACAGGAACACGTCAAGATCTGGGCGAGGATCTGGGTGGTGATCTGGGGGAATATCCGGGGGAACAGCCAGAGCAAAATCCGGGAAGCGATCTATGGAAATATGTAAGAAGATCTGGGGAAAATGTGGAGGAAGATCTGGAGAAATATCTGCAAGAACATATGGAGGGAGATCTGGGGGAGTATTTGGATGAACGCACGGGGAACAAGCTAGAGGAACATCTCGATGAAGATCTGGAGGAAGATCTGGAGGAAGATCTGGAGGAAGATTTCGAGGGAGATCTCGAGGAACCTCTTGAGGAAGATCTGGAGGAAAATCTGGAGGAAGATCTGGAAGAAGATCTGGAGGAAAATCTGGAGGAAGATCTGGAGGAAAATCTGGAGGAAGATCTGGAGGAAGATCTGGAGGAAGATCTGGAGGAAGATCTGGAGGAAGATCTGGAGGAAGATCTGGAGGAAGATCTGGAGGAAGATCTGGAGGAAGATCTGGAGGAAGATCTGGGAGGAAGATCTGGAGGAAGATCTGGAGGAAGATCTGGAGGAAGATCTGGAGGAAGATCTGGAGGAAAATTTGGAGGAAGATCTGGAAGAAGATTTGGAGGAAGAGTTCTGGGAGAAGCGTTCTGGAGGAAGATCTGGAGGAAGATCTGGAGAAAGATCTGGAAGAAGATCCGGAGGAAGATCTGGAGGAAGATCCGGAGGAAGATCTGGAGGAAGATGGGAGTGGATATGGGAGAAGATCTGAAACGACGATATAGGAAAAGATATTGAGGAAGATCTGAAAGAAGATATTGGGATTCATGAGAAAGAAGATCTGGAGGAAGATCGGACGAGATGTGTGAAGATATTGATGAAGATCTGCGGGGAGATCTAAAGAACGATCATGCAAGCTGGAGGAAGATCTGGAGAAAGATCTGGAGGAAGATCTGAAGGAAGATCTGGGCAGATCTGGAGGAAGATCTGGAAAAAGATCTGGATGAAGATCTCGAGGAACCTCTGGAGGAAGACCTGGAGGAAGATCTGGGGGAGGATCTGGAAGAAGATCTGGAGGAAAATCTGGAGGAAGATCTGGAGGAGGATCTGGAGGAAGAGTTCTGGAGGAAGATCCGGAGGAAGATCTTGAGGAAGATCTGGAGGAAGATCTGGAAGAAGATCTGGAGGAAGATCTGGAGGAAGATCTGGAGGAAGATCTGGAGGAAGATCTGGAGGAAGATCTGGAGGAAGATCCGGAGGAAGATCTGGAGGAAGATCTCGATGAAGATCTGGAGGAAGATCCGATTGAATCCAGGGATAAAATCTGGGTGAAGATCTGGGAGGAAGATCTGGAACAAGATATGATGGAGGAAGATCTGCGAGGAAAATCTGTGATGAAGATCTGGGAGGAAGATCTGGGAGGAAGATCTGGGAGGAAGATCTGGGTGAATATCTGGGTGAATAACTGGGAGGAAGATCTGGAGGGAAGATCTGGTGAAGATCTGGCAGGAAGATCTGGAGGAAGATCTGGAAGAAAATATGATAGTTATGCTGGTGGCTCTGTTGGTGGTTGCGCTGGTCTCTGTGCTGTCGGTCGTGCTGCTCGTTTTGATGGTGGTTTCGCTGGTGACGATGTTGCTGGTGATGGCGCTGCTAGTTGCGATAGTGGTTGCGCTCGTGGTGGTGGTGGTGGTTGCCATGGTATTTCTGCCACTAATTTTGCTGGAGAGGCGGATGGTGGTTTGGCTGGGGATTCTGCTGGCACGCTGGCGGAGGAAACACCCAGTGGATAAAGTGCTGGTGCGTTGGCGGAGATTTCGAATACATTTCTTTGTTAATACTTGCGCCGGTGGTTTTGCTGGACATGTTGCTGGTGGTCGCGTTGTTCATGTTGCTGGTGGCCACCATCGTCATCATAAAAATCACCATCATCATCATCATCATCATCATCATCATCACCATCACCATCATCATCGTCAGCATCGCCATCATCATCGTTGCCGTCATGATCAGCATCAGAAGCAACATCAGAACCACCATCAGCATCATCATCATCATCATCATCATCATCATCATCATCATCATCAACATCATCGTCACCACCGTGGCCGCCAAGATGGCCGCAGGAGAGCCCCAAGACGACTCCGGATGTTTCCAAGCCGCTTCTGGAGGAAAACCGAAGGGAAGATGTGGATGAATATCGGGGGAAAATCCAAAATAAGACCACGAGAAAAAATCCGGACGGGCCTCAAGGAGAGGATCTGGCCAGATCTTCAGCCAAATTTTCGCCCTGGAACGACTCCGGACGATTGCCGGTCTGTGCGATGCACTCCACGGAAACCCAAAGGCCTGTTGTTCATGGCACCCCACAGGCCCGTCCTTGGAAGAGGGGCTTCCGTTGAATATTTGGAGGAACAGCCGGGAGGGGAAGATCTGGAGGAAGATCTGGGAGAAGATCTAGAAGAGAGATCTGAAAGAAGATCTGGAGGAAGATCTGGAGGAAGAGCTGCGTGGCGACCCGGAGGAAGATCTGGAGGAAGATCTGGAGGAAGATCTGGGGGAAGATCTGGAGGAAGATTTGGGGGAAGATCTGGAGGAAGATCTGGAGGAAGATCTGGAGGAAGATCTGGAGGAAAATCTGGAGGAAGATCTGGAGGAAGATCTGGAGGAAGATCTTGGGGAAGATCTGGAGGAAGATCTGGAGGAAGATCTGGAGGAAGATCTGGAGGAAGATCTGGAGGAAGATCTGGAGGAAGATCTGGAGGAAGATCTGGAGGAAGATCTGGAGGATGATCTGGAGGAATATCTGGAGGAAGATCTGGAGGAAGATCTGGAGGAAGATCTGGGGGAAGATCTGGGGGAAGATCTGGAGAAAGATCAGGGGAAAAATCTGGTGAAAGAGCTGCGTGGCGACCCGGAAGGAGATCGGGAGTAAGATCTGAGAGGAAATATGGAGGAAGATCTGGTGAAAGATCTGGGGGAAGATCCAGGGGAAGATCTGGGAGAAAACCTGAAGGAAGATCAGGGGAAAGATCTAGGGGAAGATCTCTATGAAGATCTGGGGGGAGATCTAAGGAGGGATTGATCTGGGCGAGGATCTGAAGGAAGATCTGGGCGGAGATCTCGGAGAGGATTTGGGCGAAGATCTGGGGGAAACTCTCGGAGAGAATACAGAAGAAGATCGGGAAGAATATATGAGGGAAGATCCAGAGGAAGATCTCGACGAAGATCTGGAAGAAGATCCCGAAGATCTGGAGGAAGATCAGTAAGAAGATGCCGGCGGTAAGAAACTGAGCCAACTTTTGGGAATTCGCTATCGAATTTTAAGAAATGTTGAGACCCAGCTTGGCGGGAGGGAGTTTCTTAACAGAAGATATGAGTGTACTCCCCTAGATGGGGATATAGGCTGTTCCCTTCGGGTCTCGAGGGGTGTAATCCCCAACTGGGGGGGTAGTTTGGTGGGGGTCTCGAAGGGGATGAAGATGGGGATGGGGGTCGGTTAAACGATACTGACCCCCAGCGTCTTCTCGGCTAGGCGTAAGAGTGGCCCTGGGTAAGAGTGACCTTTTGTGCGCAGCTTTTGGGGGCGCGAGGGAGCCAAACCCGAGGGCGCGGGCCGCTTATATCGCATCGCGCTCGGGGATCGGGGGGAGCCCGATGAGCCCGCACCAAAGGTCACTCCGGCGAAAAGTCACTCTTACGTGTAGCCGATCTTCGCAAGGCGCTCGTGGAAGCCTCCGCCCGCCCAGCCGGCGCAAGGGATCCGCCCACGAGGCGCGCCCAGCTTAACGGGCGAAGAACGGTATAACATAGACTTTTTCGCTGTCGGGGACACCTGCCACCTGGGCGGCTGGAAAGTTTATACCCTTACGGTGGCACCGTAGGGGTATAAACTTTCCAGCCGCCCAGGGACAGGCGCCCCCGACAGCGAAAAAGTTTATTCTATACCGTTCTTCGCTCGCTGACCAGCGGCCGACCCCCGGGCGAACTTTTCTGCCGCACCCGTCCGCAACAGATGGCCGCCGACCAGGCGCCGACGCGGTGCCCACGAAGCCGCCCACGAGGCGCCCACGAGGCGCCCACGAAGCCGCCCATCCCAGGCCTCAGGGCCCGCAGATGAGAACCCCCAAGTGGAAGCAGCGCTTCGGGAGCATGCGGCTGAGCATCTGCCAGGTTCCAGCCCGGCGAGCACAACCACACCGAACCATCCGCCTTCGTCCTCCTGCGTAACCCAGCTTCGCCTCGTCGTCGTTGTCCTCCTCCTCCTCCTCCTCCTCCTCTTCCTCCTCCTTCTCCTCCTCCTCCTCAACCTCCTCCTCCTCCTCCTCCCCCTCCTCGTCCAGCTCCATTCCCTTCCGTTATAAATGACTCCTCCCTCTCGCGCCCCGAAGCCAGTCGAAAAGGCGGGCCGAGCGTTTCGCCTGAGACGTCCTCACCATTTATGATCCCGAAGCTTCACCGTTGGCAGAAGCTTCACAGATGGAGGGCGGGCCGCTTCCAAACTGTGGCTCTCGCCTTAACGCCGCTCGCACTCGTCTTAACCACTTGCAATGGGTTTCACGGATTGATGGCGGGCCGTTTTCAAAATGTGGCTCTCGCCTCAGCGCCGCACGAACTCGTCTCAAACAGTGGCAAGAGCTTCACGGATTGAGGGCGGGCCGTTTTCAAAATGTGGCTCTCGCCTCAGCGCCGCGCGAACTCGTCTCAAACAGTGGCAAGAGCTTCACGGATTGAGGGCGGCTCCTTTTCAACATGTGGTTCTCGCCTGAGCGCCGCGCGCATTCGTTTTAAACATTTTCAAGAGCTTCACGGATTGAGGGCGGTTCCTTTCCAAAATGTGGCTCTCGCCTTAGCGCCGCGCGCATTCGTTTGAATGGCAAGCGTACCAGAATTTGTGCTTGGGATCGATTCAGGACTGTCACGGCGTAACAGTTACGTTGGTTCGAAGTGTTGACATCCTCAGAATGAAGCTCTGGCACGATTCAGGACCGTCAGAACGCAACGTTCATGTTGATTCGTGGCGAAAGGTGTTTCGGCGAGCCTCAGGATCTTCAAATGATTGTCCCCCAACGGGGCACTTCCTCCAGTGTAAATGCATCCTTGTAGGGGCATGTGAAGAGGGAGCTTTGAGGGAGGGATGATTTCGACATCGTTGATGAGTTTTCGGCTTACACTGGTCCTCCTCCTCCTCCAACTCTTCCTCCTCCTCCTCCTTCTCCTCCTCCTCTTCCTCCTCGTCCTCTTCCCGGCTCCCTCACACCATCACGTCTCCCTCGTCTCTCCAACCCGCTGCCTTCGCCCTGCCTCATGCTCCTCCCCTCCCCTCTCTCCCCGATGCTCTTGGAACAACCTGTTGTAACTTCCCAATTTCCTGCAAGCCCTGACCTTGGCTCCGGGACCCCCAAAAACACTCGACTCGTCACCCTGGAGCCCAGCCCCTCACCCCTCCTGGGCCAACGGCATGGGGGCCCTCCCACGGGGGAGTCCAACTCCTTAACCCCCCTTGAGCGCATCCTGCGCGAAGCCCACCAACCTACCCCTGCGGTCCAGGAGTCCTGACGGCGAGCGCACGGGGACAGGTCGAGAGGAGCGGTCTTGTCGCAAGCCCGGGGGGCGCCACAGAAGCAGAAGGAAGCATGTCCCCTCCCCCTGTTGCTCCTCCTCCTCCTCCTCCTCCTCCTCCTCCTCCTCCGACGACGACGACGACGACGACGACGACGACGACGACGACGACGACCCAGACGACGACGACGGCGACGACGACAGCCACGACGGCGGCACCATGCGACGGCGGCGACGCCCCGAGCCGCCGGTCGCCTCTCGGCCCCGAGCTCGAGCGCGGCCCGCAGCTCCGCCCGGGAGCACGCTCCGGCCGGCACGCCCGGGGTGAAGAGGCGGTGCGAGCGCCTGCCGGCCGCCGGCCGCCGCCGACACAGCGCCGGGGGGAAACGGCTGCGGCGGGGCCCGGCTCGGAGGGGGGGAACGTCGCGCTGGAACGCAGCGCTACGTCGTCGATGGATCGGCGACGGGCCCGCTGTAGCTAAGTAGCTCCTGCGCGATGGGGCGGGGCGGGCTGTGGGGACCCTGTCGGCGAGGACTGGGCGATCGGGGGTGGATGCCTCCCCCCCTGGGCCCCCCCCCCGCTATCAAGTTGCCCCTGGCCAGATCTCCGACGACACGACTGCTCAGTTCCTCGATTGCGGCCGCTGGGCCCCGCCGTTGGGCCCTGCGACATCACGAACGGGTCCGGGGGACGATCAACGAGCACGAGGTTCATGCAGACATCGCCACCTGGCCAAGACGATCACCGCACTGCCCTGTTTGCTCGGTGCTCAGTGTGATGCTGCGGCCGCGTGCTTGCAGGGCATGCGCCCGCTGGGCCTGGTCCCAGGTCGTTCGTGCTGAAGGACGTTTTGGAAGGGGCCCTGGGACACACAAATAAATACACCCAAATAAACAGATTCCCCATATTTTCCTATATCTTCTGGGTTTTTGTCTTCCCCACCACTTCCCATATTTTCTCATATTTTCTGGGGGATCGACGATGAATTGTGTCTGTGTTTTTTTTTCCCTCCTGAGTTTTGCCGCAGGAGCGCGCCGCTCACCCGCCGACTCTCCACGCTGGGGCCCCTCCCGCCTAGCCTCCGCCCTCGTCTCTCCTCCTTCCGCTCCAGCGCCCGCTCCCGGGACGCCCTGCCGTCGGCGACACCCGCGCCTTCTCCTCCTATTCCTCCTCCTTCTCCTCCTCCTCCTCCTCCTCCTGCTCCTCCTCCACTTCCACCTCCTCCTCCTCCTCCTCCTCCTCCTCCTCCTCCTCCTCCTCCTCCTCCTCCTCCCCTTCCCCCCGCGCCCGCTGGCGCTGCCGAATAAAACAGCGCTTTGCCCACAAGGGCCCCGTTGAATCCCGAACTGCAGCCAACCCGCACAATAAGGATGCGCGCGACGTGGATGCAATTTGGCCTTAAGAGGCCACGTCGACACACTGCGGGCAGGGCGCGGCCGGCGAAAGCGGCCACAAGGATGGGCCGAAGGGGAAGGACGCACGGGTGACCTTGAAGAGTCGCTCGTCCTTACTCTGCGGGCTGACTGTACCCCCTCCCCTGACTCCGGATCCGCCCTACTTTGGTTTTTTTTTCCAACTTAAAATTGCATCGGAAATCCACCTATAAGAGGCCGAAACAATAGGGCGGAAATTGCTGCACCCAACATAAAATAGGGCGGAAACCCACAGAAACAACAACAGAAAAGTCGGGCGGAAATTGGCATCAACGGGGCTTCAAAAGTAAGGCGGAAATTCCAAGCCCTACTTACGAAATTCCCCGAAGTAGGGCGGATCCGGAGTCAGGGTCGGGAGAGCACCTCTGCCGCGGAAAGCACCTCTGCCGCGGCCGCAGGCCCCGCCCTTCTGGAGGGGGAGCGTCCACCAGGGGCAGCTCGTGGGGGGGGCGACATGGAGCTGGAATCGACGATACACCGCCGATGTTACGAGGCAGCTACTGGGAGGTCGTCGTCGGAAAAGGAGACTTGCGCCCCATTGGGGGGCTGCTTGCCAAGAAAAGGCCGTGGATCAAGCGGGACTAAGCTGGATTCAGCGGGCTTAATAAGCCGGGGCAAACTGGATCCAGCCGGATTTCGGACCAAGGAAGAAGCAGAATCTGACCTCCCAGGAGCTGCAGCCGAACCGCTGCAGCGGCGACGGGCGCCCAACGGCCAAGCCGCACGCCGCCGCCGTTCCTCCTCCTCCTCTCTCCTCCCTCCTCCTCCTCCTCCTCCCTCCTCCTCCCTCCTCCTCCTCCCTCCTCCTCCTCCTCCTCCTCCCCCTCCTCCTCCTCCTCCTCCTCTCTTCCTCCTCCTCCTGCGCACAACCTGAGGCGCCACAGAGTCTATGACACCTCAGCCGTCGGTCGGCGTGGCTGAGGGCGCACCTTGCAGCCGCCCTCAGCCACGCACATCGGACAGGGCCCACGGTGGGCCACACTGCTGCCAGGGGCCTCCAGGCAGCACCGACTGCGCACGGCCAGACCGCCAGCGCGCAACGGAAGGGCTGTGCATGGCCAGAAGAAAAATTTGGGCACAGCAGAAGCCCGTGACGTGAAAAGTAAAGGGGGAGGGCACGCCGAGGGCCACGGGGCGATCTCCCTTACTGGGAGGATCCCCTATGGCCAACGGTATGCCCCCCAATACCCGACCCCACGGTGGGGTCGGGCTGTTCTGAACCAAAATTATCGAGAACATCGTGCAAAACGTGGGGAGGAGGGCGGCCGCTGGCAGCCGCCAACAGCCGCTGAACAATGGCAGCGCGCTCAGCATCCGTGCGCTGCGTACGCTGCTTGCGCGCAGGCGCAGCAGCTCCCGACCAAACTCCTCCGCCCCCGCTCGACGACGTCGACGGAACGACACCTCCGTCCTCCACATGAGCTGCGGCACCGCCAGCCGATCGCCGTGGTGCCTCTGAGGGCTGGGCCATGCAGGCACTTGCATTGGCCTCGCCTGCCTCCAGCAGGTGTGCTGCCGAAGCGCTGGCCGCCACCGCAGGCGCAGGGATGCTGTCTCCACCTCCGCCGCTCGACCACGACGACACCTCAAGACCTCCTTCCTCCGAGTTGGCGCCCGCGTCCTCACCAGACAGGTGGGATACTCTCGAAGGTCGGCCCGAAGCATCAGCAGCCGCACAGTCGTCACAAGCCTCCAGCTGGGAGGCGAGGTAAGAGCCAGCGGCGGCGTCCTCGACCAGCGGCGCCTGCGCTGCGACACGAAACACCTTCGCACCGAGGCGAAACTCGCCTTTGCTGAGGCGCTTGCGCACCTTCATGGCATGATCGGTGGCCGCATGCGGGCAAGGCTGGCTGAGAGCTGCGACACGAACAGCTGCGAAGTTGCCACAGCGCGCACAGCCCACGACCGTGGGGCCTTCGCACAGGGCAATCCGAATAAACTCATGCTTGCGCACTCCATCCTCAAGCTTCCTCTGCGCCGCCAGCACGCGAGAGGCTACGTCGGATGGGGCAGGCTCACGCACAACAAAAAGCCTTGGAAGGCGCGGCTTGCCCCGATTGTGCCGCTTGGGGTGGCCACAATCTTCGAGCCACTCGCTGAGTCGGCCGATCCAGCCTCCCCAAGTCTTGACAACCTTGGATCGTGCCTGCAGCTGCGCGCGGCCTAGACGCGGCGCCCTCGCATGCGCAGCGGCACTCTTAGCAGCGCGGTCGGCCATCGCATTGCCAAACCTGTGGCGCTCCGTGGCGCGCCCATGCTGGATGTCACTAGCGGCCACATGGCCTTTGACTTTCGAGAGCTCAAACCCGTCCCCCCCAGTCATCCACCAACCGCCAAAATTCCCTCCAGAGATGAGCGTGCGCAGCGACACAGGCGGTGGCGGCCGCACGCCCACGTTCGTGGAAGCCATCAGCAACAAAAGCTGAGTCCGGAAACATACGCACAGGCGGCGCTGCAAAGCGCGGCACATGGATGACAGCAATGAGCTCAGCAGCATTGATGCACTGCAACGGGTCGAGCACAGGGCCAGAGCAAAAGGAGACAACCTGAAGGCAGTCCGGATGAAGCGCCACGCACCCCCAGCCCGCACTCGCAAGGCTGGGATGCTCAGCTTCAAATACCGACCCGTCAGGGTAAATGTCACCCGTGAAGCTGCCAGGTCCTCCCAGCCCCCAGCATACTGGTTGCCCAGGTGGCGGCCTCGCAACCGCGGGAAAAGGGACCAGACAGCGTTCAGCAAAGGCGAGGGCAAGCGGCGCGCGCGCGGCTCGCGCAACATTGGCACGAAACGCAGGGGCGCCCTCGAGGCTGTCGAGGCGCGCGCAGGAGCAGTGCCTGTGCAGCAACGTGCCTTCGGCCTGCGGACAGAGCAGGCAGGCAGGCGTGGTTTCGTATCCCTCGGCCCACTGACGCGTCTGGGGCCACTGCCCCCAAACCACAGTGCTTTGCAGGTGGCCTCTCTGCTGGGCTGTGAGCTTACTCTTGGTGCTGAGCAGGGCCTTCAGGGGGCTAAGGATGACGCCGTTGCCAAACTCGGGGAGGTCCAAGTGGTCGGCAACCTTGGCGAACTGCCAACACTCAACGGCACGGTACACGAGCTCCTGGATGGTGACGGGGCAGAAGTCCGAGGGGTTGATGACAGCCCCATCGGGCCAAGTCCAGGAGGTAGCCGAAGTGGCCGTGATCCCCACACGTTTGGGAGTGGCCCACAAAGCACTGAAAGGGCCCCGAATGGAGGACCACGGGTGCTCCAGATTCACAAGCCTCTCATGGGCCTCACGGAGGCCGAAGTTCAGTGCGTCCTTAGGGAGCCAGGAGTGCCACAAGGCGAAGAGGAAAGCCTTCACGGGCAACCACGTGGCCCTGAAAATGGTGTCCAAACGGGGCACAGGAGCCAGTAACAGGGCCAGGGTGCGGGATTTACCAGCCATGCGATGGTCCTGAAGCCTGCCAGCAGCACCTCTAAGCACCTCCAACTCCTGCCCGTTAATGCCGACCACGGAAGACCCATGCAACACGGACGACTCCAGAGCACTTCGAGCCATGCGCCCAAGCACGCGGCGACGAGGTTTGGAGCCCCTGGGGATGGACATACGCTGCCGCCGCTTGCACATAGCCTTGACACGGGAGGCGGACGTGGCCTTGCCCCCTCCAGCGAGCCCCGAGGAGAAATCGACACCGAGGTTTCTCTCAGCTCTCACGGGCAGGGGTTGAAGGCTACGGAGCTTCGAAGCGATCGAGGCTCTAACCGCAGGCGAGTTCCCGAGCACTCGGGACTTGTCGACGGCGACCCTAAGGTCGGCGGCCTTGAGCTCACTGTGGAGCTCCTTACCAGCACCGGCGATGTCATGCACAACTCTCGACTCCGCACCCCACCTCATGAGGCCAAAATCGTCAACATTGACCGACGCCTGGACCGCCGGAAAAGACGCCTGGACGGCGTCGAGGGGACCTAGCAGCACCAATTGAAGCATACAAGTGGCAAATGTGCAGCCTGGTACAACCGTCTGCTCAACATCCAGCAACGAACCGACCTCGCCAGCCACGTCAAGCAGCCTCGGGGCCCGATAGATCTGCACCAGGAGGTACAATTGCCACATAGGAAAACAGGTGGCCTGCGCGGCCGAGATGAGATGTCGATGCTGCACCAGCTCAAACGCCTTCTTTAAATCCAAAAGTAAAGTCGCACAACTACGATGTTTGAACGTCGAGTGTTCGGACCACGCCGCCTGAATCCACACGCAACGTTCCGAGGACTTGCCGTGGGCGCCCCAAAAGAACTGACGGTAGTTTCTCGCTTGCCACTGCCTAATGAGAGGACGTCTCAGGCGACGTTGAACGCGAGCCAACACGTGGATAAGCCCCAAACGGCCTGAGTCCCCCCACCCGCTTGAGAATGAACGCAATGCGGTTCCACATGACGGGCCACTCACGCTTGTGCTCAATTTGTGAGATGATCTCGCACAGGGCTTCCAGCGCGGTGTGCGGCAGCAGCAGCAGGGAACGGGGCGACGCTTGATCGAAACCCGCGCCAGTAGAATACCTAAAGCTTTTAAGAACCCGCACGAGCTCATCAACGCTGGGTCGCTCAGGCGGCACTCCAAGCTCAGGCCACTCGAGGGGGGGCTTCGCTTGTCCCACGGACCACCACTTTTTCCTCTCGGCCTCAAGGGCCTCGACCGACTCGACAGACGAACAGGGGCGGAGGGCGTGGTGGTCGAGGGCATCGGGTTGCCAACCGATGGGAAGGGAGGAAAACTTGAAAAGGGCCGACATCCCCCCCCCCCCCGAGGAATGCTCGTCAACCCATTTGCTCCACGCCCTGTCCTTGTCGAGCGCCGACTGAGCCTGAAGCCTCTCGGCTTCGACGTCCGCGAGCTCTGCCAGCGCCTTGGCCGGGAGCAGCGGCAGCAGATCGGCCTGCATCAACGCTGCCGCCCAGGCGGCATACATGGCGCAGCTAGGGAGGCGGTGAAAACCTGAAAGCCGATGGGCAGCCGAAACGAGCTGCCGCCTGCGAGTGCCCACAGGATCTCGGGCAAGGTCAGACAAGAGGACGCTGGCCTTGCGCCGCCAACACGCCAACGGGGAAAGCTGGGGAAACCTCGGAGGCCCAGGGCAAGATGGCTTCTTAAAGGAGATCTTCAGAGGCAAGTGACGACCGACGTATCCATCAGTATGCTCCCCCGAGATCAGAAAGACATAAAGCCACTCAGCTTCCGCCGCCTTAAGGAAGCTGTTCCATTTGTCCTGCACAGCGACGTTAGGATCAGAACACAACGCGGCAACGGGCTCCCACCTACCCTCGACGGGGGGCCCAGGCAACCAATGGGGCGCTCCAGAGGGATACGTTTGGGCAACTTAGCAAACTTAACCTCAGCAACGGCCCGAATACGTGGGAGAACGAGCCTGACAGGGTAGTGGGGGGAGATGGGGACGTCTTGCACAATTTCGGCCCTGGCCGCACCTGCAATGACCCTCGAGACGACGAAAAAGTCGATGCACCTCATGGCTGGGCGGCACGTGCCGCCAGCAGGGGCAAAGATGACTGCGTCCATGGCATCGCCCCATCCAGTCTGCTGCAGATCAGTGTGATGTATATTCCAATCTCCACCGATCACGAACGCCATGCCAGCAGCCTTGAGGGCCCTGCCGACGCGGCACAGGATGTTCCAGTTAACCTCATTCACCCCGACGGAATGCACCATATAGAGATTCACAACCAGGAAACCTCCTCGAATCATCCCTCCCACATGGTGAATACTGGCACGCGCAGGCTGCAGCACAGGCGAGACGCTCTCGAGCGCACCTAGACCAATCCTCTTGGGCGTGGCCGTAATCAGACCGCCAGTGGGATTGCCGAGCGTGGGCAGCGCGGCCGTGAGAGAGGCTGACCAGCCGATCTGACGGAGGCGCGCCTCGGTCGGCTCCACCGACGAACCAGGGATCCTGGTCTTCTGCACGAGGAGGACGTCACAAGCAATGCACTCGCACAAAAACGCGTCGAGCCCTAGCTGGCCCCCAACATTGGCGGTGATCATGGTCCATTTCTTGGCCTGACCACCGCTAGGACCTGGGCGGGGACCTGCTGGGCTCATCATCTCCCTCACTGAAGGGAGTGAGCCGAAACTTCTTCTGCGCTGCACTGTTGATGCCTCCAAGAATGTTCTCCGCATGCTTGCGCGGAATCTTGCGCTGGGCAAGGAAGGCATTAAACCCTTGCTCAGTGGAAAGCTTCTTGAGGAAACCTGAGAGCACACGAGCTGCTGGCGGCGGGCCAGCTCTGGCCGCAGCAGCACCCGACCCATCCCGCCCCCGTCCCACGTCCGAGCCCGCCCCCCCTCCACAGAGCGGGGCAGCAGGCGCGGCACCTGACGCAAACGGGGACTCAGACGGAGGTCGGCCGAAAACTGCCAGCGCGGCAGCCTCCACATCACGAACGTTGGCTGGAGCAGGTTCAGCACGTGCTTCTCCAGGCGGGGCGTCCTCCATGGCGTTGCCGTCGCCACTGAGGTCGTCCAGTTCGTCAGACTCGTAGCCGTCGTCGGTGGCAGCCTCATCATCAGGGTGAGCAGGAACCAGAAGCGCATCACGCGTCTCCAGCAATGACCGTAGAGAGCGAGCCAAGCCCGCGTCCAAGGACTGGAACTGCATGAGCAGAGCGAACGCGGGGTCGTCGGCCGAAAGCGCGGAGCCCGAGGCGTCGACTGATCCCGCACTACCAGCAGCACACTGCGCCCATGCCGCTGAGGCCTTGGCGGAGGCGACTCGCTCCTGACCTTCGAGCGACGAGAGGTTGTCCTTGAGCTTGACGAGCTCCAGGACCTTGCTCTGCACGACGGACTCGACCTTCTCGATCTGCTTGGAGACATGGGCGATCTGCTTCTTGAGATCGTCCAACAGAGCCTGCGCATGCCGCTGAACTGCACGAGGGTCACCAGCAGCCAAGGCGCGCTGCGCCACGACTCGAGCACGCTGGGAGGGCGAGAGGAGCCCCTTGCACACCTCGAAATCCTCGTTGGACATGCGCACAATCTTGTCGAGCTGCGCAGGCTCGAGTAGCTTGTGCTTGGGCCGAACGGCGGCACAGCGAGGCGGCCCGTCAGCCCAGGCACCCTGCGGCCCCCGCTGCTGCTGCACAGGAGCAGGCGCAGGAGGGCGAGCAGCACCACACTTGTAGCAGAAATGCTTCCACGAGAAATTCGTTTTGAAGCCACATTTCTTCTTGGGGCAGCACCACACCTCATTACGAGCACCGGCACTGCGCTCGCCCATGAATGTGACACAAGATATGAAAGAGATCTGCAAGGCCTGGGCAGGCTCAAGCAGGGAATCGCACAACACTAGCTCACAGTAAGCCACCTTGAGCCAAAATGGCTACGGACTCTTCCTCCTCCTCCTCCTCCTCCCCCTCCTCCTCCTCCCTCCTCCTCCCCCTCCTCCCTCCTCCTCCCCCTCCTCCCTCCTCGGGCCGGGCCGTCGGGCCCCCCCTCGTGGGCGATGTACGGACGGTATCGGGGGCCGAGGCGCCCTCCCTGCGCCTGCCTCCCCTTCATACGACGTCCGGCGCACTGGAGAGCCCCGCTGCCTTCCTGTGGCGGCGCGCCGAGGAACAGACCGGCGCGTGCTCCACTGCTCGCACGGCAGCGAACGACTCGCCGAGGGCCTGGCTCCGCCCCTGGGGGGCCTCACGATCCACGGCATCGAGGCAGGCACGTGCTCTCCAGACGTCTGCGGCTGCTGGGCACTCTGCGACCAGCGGAGCGCGCTCGGTGCCGGGAGGAAGTGCGAGGGGGCAGACCTTCTTGCAGTGCGGCGGGGCTTCTGAGAAGCCCTCTGGCCGTCTGGGAAGCCTTTCGTGGCCATCTGAAAGGATTTTTGTGGCCTCCTGAGGGGAACTAATGAGTAATGCTACTGATAATGATAGTGCGCATAATAAGAATGGTACGAATAATAACACTAACCATAACAACACGATTACTAGTAATGATTGTAAATAGTTGTAGTACTGATCGTATGTCACAAAAAAAGAATAGCCATACAAGTAAGAATACAACATGCTATTCCTAATACTCATACATCAGAAGAAGATGTAACACATCTCTGGCAGCATGCAGCAGGATAACAAAACGACAACACGTCTGGCAGCAAGCACCTGCTCTGCAGCAGGCGCAGAGCCTTCCGAAAAGGCCCGCCCCCTCCTTGGAGAGACCAGGAGGCACCGATGAACCGCTACTCCCCGGAACTCTCCTGCAGGGCGCGTTCTGACCAGACCTCCGAGGCGAGCCCAGCGGCATGGCGACGAGGGCCTCCCAGGAGGCCCCCCCCCAAAAAAAGGGGAGAACGAGGGAAGGGTACCGGTCTGGGTGCACTTTCCTCCTCTGGTGTTTCTGCCTTCCTCGCGGGGCACGCCGCCGAGTCCTGGCGAGACCCGGGGGGAGCGACGGCAGGACGCGGGAGCACACCGTGCCGGGGGGGGGGCGGGCGCCAGGCGAGGTGCCGCGCGGCGGCCAGCGCGGCCGCGGAAGCCAGCGAGGCCCCGCCGAGGAGCTCCTCGCCGGAGGCCCGCGGTCGCAGAGGGAGGTGGCAGAGAGCAGATAGAGCCCTCCTACAACCCTCGTCAAAATTAACCTCAAAAATGTCTGACGTGGTTGAACTGCTTGTCGGGAGATCTGGGGCCGAGTATCGATGAGTGCGGGGTACTTGCATGCGTCGCCCCTCCAATGTCGGTCGACGTCAAACTTTCGAGTCAACTTCGGTCAGACTATCTTTGCCCTCGCCCCGACATTGAAGGGGCGGCGTGTCGACATTGAGGGGCGCGCCGAAA